GCAAGACAGCTAGAAGATCACTTCCTTTGCAAATTAAGACCAAAAGTGGAGGGGAAAGCTAAATTAAGTGGACAGTGAAACTGGCCGAGTACCCATCTGTAATCTCAAAAGCAACGTTCTTAAAGGGAACTGTCTTTGAAAGCTACTTGGGTCTGTAACCCTGGGGGTCAACTGTGTTCCCGGGTTAGAAACACTGGAGATGGCACACCGGTTGAAAGAAAAAAAACTAAAATGAACCTTAATTACAATCAAAGAAAGCTTAAAGGCCCTCAGTGTATGCTGACGTTACGCACACATAACTGGTGATGGAGTTTTGTCAGTCATGAGCACAGGACAGACTGGGAGCAGCTGAGCTCACCGGTGCCTGTGGCCCCGCGCCTGGCGTGATGTGGGACCATCCCCCGCTGCCTGACCTGCCAGAGCAAGCCGCCTCCCAGGGAGTATGCAGCGTTCAGCAGGCAAAGGCGACCAGCCAAGGGCTTCAAGCTTGCTTGGATTTAAAATTGAGGTCTAACGCTAATGAAAAACACCTCGTCACGCATCCCAAAGTCACCTGAAGACACCACGGCCTCATCTAAGGCGGTCACTGGAGCTGCGTGTCTCAACTCGGTATTGCATTGCTCGGCCACCTCACTGCCTCTCCCCACTGTCTGTGCTCTGAGGAGAGGCTCAGCTCTCACTAGAGAGGTGCAGGGGCAAGGGAGACATGCCCGGTCCTCAGCCGGCAGGGCAGCGGGAGGCGACGCCCAGTCAGCCCTGCTCACTGCCCAGCCTCCTGATCTCCAGTCCCGATTTTTTAAAGTGAATCTGTGGTAAACATTGATGAGGTTGTGCTTTTCCAGGAGTGGCTAACAATGCAATACGCAGCTCCGCTAGGAATGGACATCGTAACTCTATGTAAACAAACAGCCTCAAGAAATATGTTCCCAGTGTCGGCCTTTCAGCATCCTCCCCGTGAATAGGAGATGATCGTGAAAGACAGTTTCTCTCACTACACGTTCAGTTGCTTTACAACTGAGACCAATGGTTTTGAGACATATTTCTTTCTTAGCCCACAGTGAACCTTACGTCACCACGTGAGTCGTGAGGGAGCTTAGGTGGTGTGTTACAGTATCTTCAGTTGCTCACTTACGTGAAGGCTACAGTGCCTGATTAGGGTGTGAAATGAACACTCTTCTTCTGTTTCCAAGCAGATGAGCAAAGAAATAAAAATATATATATAAAAATATAATATAGAAAAACTCGCAGTGATGAAGTAAAATAAAAATGAGACACTAAACACGAATGTCATCTGATCGTTAGATACGCTCTCGGAGTTCTCTGATCCCTGTGGGGAGGCCTGACGCCCTCGAGTCTAAGGACAAGCAGCCCCTCTCCCTCTGCATCAGACCAAGTGTGTGTCTGTCACGTGAGGGGAGGCCCTCGTGAGTAAAGGCTGGTTGATGGGCATTGAAAGGGTCATTTTTTTGTGAAATAAACAAGATTTAGAAGTAAGCATTTTTAGGCACGAGCCCCATGGAAGGGTGGAGGAAACACTCAGGGTGACGCTTTCGGCCCAAGACATGAGAACAACAAAGACTGTGTGAGAGTGTAGGTGGCGGTGGCAGGGCCCTAGATGCGCTGGGGACAGCTGCTTACCCGTTTGGCCTTGGCGCGGGCCGGCGTGTCATGTACAGGGTGGGACGGGGCATCAGACAGATAGACTTCCACATCATCAGGCACTTCTTCCAGGAAGTTCGAAGGCACGAGGCCTTTCTGCCCATTGAGCTCCCCCTAAAACATGGTGAGCAGGAGGCCCCCTTACTCCACATCCCATGAGCTCACTTCCCCTCAGCTAGGAACAGCCCGGAGGACAGCGTGGGGCGCTTCATTCCGGTTCAAAGCGGGTGCAACTGGAAGGGACTCCAGTGTTTCCAAACTACCCCGATCGATCCAGAAAATGACCTCGGCCACCTCCCCTGACTTGGCCTGTGGGGCGGAGCAGAGGACTATGATTTGTCCTGGAGCCTCGGTGGCTCTTAGCACCAGGCTCCCTTGGGGCCTCTCCTGGGACCCTCTCAGCCCTGGGACCTCAGAGTCTCTCCATCACTAGGTGGAGGCGGGATGGAGAACAGGTGATGAGTTAACCAGCAGCAAGGCCCAGTGTCTAGACCTGTTCAGCCACCTGTTAGCATCCTCCTCATACACCACTACGTTCTCACTATAAAAATCCAGACACCGAGGCGACCACTGCTTCAGGCTGGTACGTATCCTTCCATTGACAAGTGTCTATAGGGTCATGGACTGCAGGCCCAGCTGCCATCCAGACCAAGAGGGTCACAGTCCACTGTGTCATTTCTTCCCTACCCCCAACGCCAACTTGCCCCACAAGTGCCCAAAACCAAGTCCCAGGCCCCGTGGGAGTCTGTTCTCTGTTCCCAGGCCCCTCCTGCACCAGAATTAAAACCACCGGCACACAGGCAATACAAGAAGGCCCCCTGCAGGAGGGGGTCTAGGAGGTTAGCATCCATACTATGTGAAGAACACCTACATCTCAACCAAAAAACAACCAATGAAAAGGGGGCAAAGGACTCAAATAGACATTTCTCCAAAAAGGCACGGGAAGGCCAACAGCTTGTGGAAAGGTGATCAGCCAGCATCTAAGCGTTAGGGAGACGCAGAGCCGAAACACAGGCCCTGCCTCGCTCCCCTGCGACGGCCACTACCAAAAACCAAACCAAATGTTTACGAAGAGGGAAACTGCCAGTGAAGGCGTGGAGGACTTGGAGGCCTGGCGCAGCCGCTGTGGGAAGGCAGCCGGGTGGTTCCTCAAGCACAAGTACAGCCACCCTACAGCCCCGCATGTCCATTCCTGGACATACACCCCGAGAGAGGACAGACAGCACAAACCAAGCATAGCAGGTGAGCAAGATGGCGCATCTCGCCGCTTGTAAAACTTACATAGTAAAACCCGTCCTCGTCGATTTCACCGAAGACAGAGATGATGTCTCCCGTGCAAAAGGTGAGCTCAGCCTGGAGAGAGATGGAGGCGGCAGTGAGCGGCCTTGCCCTGTACCACCACTTTCTCAAAAGAGCTTTGTGGTTTCTCCCGTTATCTCCGTTCCTGTCATTTTGGTTATTATTAACCTTCTCCTTCAGCCCAGAGGCAGAGAGGTCACGGAGCTGAGAGGGCTCTGCGCGCGGCCTCTCAGAAATAGCCACACTGGAAAGCAGGCCACCCCAGGAAAGCGCTGCGGTGCCCGGTTCTGGCCAGAATTCATCCCGGCCACNTGCCCGGTTCCGGCCAGAATTCATCCCGGCCACGGCCCACCTGTGGTCCTAATGCCCGCCAGGTGCTTAATCTTTAGCACCTGGGTGTCAGGGAGCTATTCCAGCAGCTAAGGCTCTACGTAAACACCTCCCGCTGAGTCTGAGACTGTGCTCAATTACTAATGAAAAGCCTACTTCCCTGCCCATGGAGCTGGGATGGGCAGACCAGTCTGGTACCAGTGTCAGAAAATGTGAAAGTGGGGGGTCCCTGTCAAAGGCCTGCCAGGCATCACACACAAGTCAAGCCTGCCAGCGCCCTTCGAGTGGGGCCGGCGCACTGGGCCGCCAGGCACCGCCGACACTGGGTGAGCGGGTGCTGACGCACCCGTCGTCTAAGAAATTTAGTGGCCCCACCGGGTGGAAGCCTAACCTTTCCTTTCCGGAGGCCACCCCTTCAGTTTGCGAGACACCAAACCACGCAGGGTCTGGCACTGAGCCCCGCCGTCCACCCGGCCGTGGGCGTGGGGCCGGCCCTGTAGCTGAGCCGCACGGAGACCAGTGGGCCCACACCGGTGCTGGCCGCCCACTGCCCTGGGAGCCGCGCGGCGGGGACGCAGGAGACGGCTGGGGTCAGGGGGGTCACGGGGTCACGCGCTCTGAGGGAGACAGCGAGGGACAGGCGGTACCTCCACGTCGATGTTGGGCGAGCTCTCCCTCGGGTCGTAGTCGTACAAGGCCACCATCCTGCGCGTGGACACCGCGTGCTGCCGGCCCCCTCTTCTGCTCCTCTCTACTGACCACGGGGAGAAAAGGCCACGTGACCATCGCACAGGAGCGGGGCCCCGTCACGTGGCAGAGGGCCCGAGGTGGCCGCCACCAGGCTCGGGTGGG